CACACAGGGAGGCGAAGGGAGAATCCCCCCCCAAAGCCAGTGACTGGATTCTCAGTCAAGGTACCAAGGCAAAAATAAATAAATAAATAATAATAAAAAAAAAAAAATCAGCAATTTATAGAAAGAAGCAGCTCTGGTGTGTAGGGATCTCCAGCACCAACAGGTAGGAGGACAGGGGCTGGGGGGGAGGGGGGGCACAGGGCTGATGCAGCTGCAGGTCTGTGCATGGAGAGGGAGAGCTCCCTCCCTTGGGGATTTTTTTTTTTTTTTAATAAACTGCATAATGGAAGTGGACACGGACAATGCCTCTTCCGCGGGGCTCCCCGCGAGCTCCCCGTAGCTGGAGACCGTGGCCGGGCTCGGGCGGATGGAGCTGCAAAGCCTCAGCGGCGGCGCTCCCCTGGAGCACAGGAGCGTTTCGTCCCTGCATCGCTGTGTACGTATGTGCATGGAGAGGGGCGAGCGGGGAGCGGGGGGAAGCGGCTGGGGGGAGGCTGATTTCATGGTTTTAAACCGTTGCCATGATCTGATCAGCCTCTGTTTACACAGCAGCAATCAGGCGCTTTGTGCGGGGTAAGAATGCACGGGTTGGACTGGAATCCAGTGCGAATCGCCTTTGTACACCCGAGGTGGCATAGGAAACACTCCATGGGAATAACCGAGCAGCCTGATCCTGCCTGCTGTGGCTCCCGGGTCCCTGGCTCTGGAAAAGCAGCAGTGTCTTTCTCTGATGATGATGATTATTTTCTGTGCATGAAATATATTCTGTTGCAGTTCACAGGGAGGAGTGGAAATCACGGAGCCCTAAAAGAGAGCTCCATTTATTCTCTCTATTAAAGCCAGCCCTTCCAAATGGATGGGCATTTATTCCTTGGGTGTGTTTCCTTATTTTTCTTCAATATTGATATGAACCCGGGTTTAATCATGATCATCATAATATTGGGCTTCAAAGATTTGCATTACCAAGAGCAGGGGGAAAAGCCCTCCCCCCCTAAAACACAGTGCTGTGGTCTGTCTAGCCTATGTGTTTATTTCAGAGCCTAAATGATAAAATCTTGGTTTATAGGGGGATATAATGAATACATTTTATCTTTTAAAATGTGCATGAACTAACATTGTGTGATTAATGTGCTTTGGTGACTTGGGTTAAAAAACATAAATTCTGCAGGGTTTCTTTGGGCGTGATCCATATCAACACAGCAGCTGCCTCTAAAACATTGACAAATACTGTAGATGTAAAATAAATGTAGGTAATGTCAAAATCTCAGCAGCCTTTTAGGATTTTTGGAAGATGTGAATGATTAATTTCTGGACTTGCAAGCTGGGGATTATTTTATTCACAAAGCCTCCAAGGCTTTAGCTGTGCATTTGTGTATTCTACCTAATACAAGGGACATTGTTTGGTCAGCTCTGAAATTGTAAGCAATTCAAATCCATGAAATCTGAAAATAATGTTATACAGAAAGTATGCCGGTCATATAAAGAACATGCCTCATGGTTTTTAAAAACAAATAATAGTACTCAAATTTACACCTTCGTTTGGTTCTTTCTCCATAAATTAACATCTTTGTTAGCACTTTATGACATCATTACTTGTTAACTTAAGAACTGATAGCTCGTTTTTTTTCAGATATTTTGATGGCATGACAAATCAGAAAGAAGAAAAGAGGATGTACTGTATGACTAGACACAAGATCAGTTCTGTTTGTGGATTACATTTTCAGTAAGATGTATGGATCTATTTTTTCCTTGTTCTTATATATAGATCATGAGACTTGACTGAGGCAATATCCATATCATCCATCCATCTATGGCGAACTACAGCCATGCAGCTGACAACATTTTACAAAATCTCTCTCCTTTAACAGCCTTTCTGAAACTGACTTCCCTGGGTTTCATAATAGGAGTCAGTGTGGTGGGTAACCTTCTGATCTCCATTTTGCTAGTCAAAGATAAGACCTTGCATAGAGCTCCTTACTACTTCCTGTTGGATCTTTGCTGCTCAGATATCCTCAGATCTGCAATTTGTTTCCCCTTTGTTTTCACCTCTGTAAAAAATGGCTCTACTTGGACATATGGGACTCTTACTTGCAAAGTGATTGCCTTTTTGGGGGTGTTGTCCTGCTTCCACACTGCTTTCATGCTGTTCTGCATAAGTGTCACCAGATACTTAGCTATTGCCCACCACCGTTTTTATACAAAGAGGCTGACCTTCTGGACTTGTTTGGCAGTAATCTGTATGGTGTGGACCCTTTCGGTAGCTATGGCTTTCCCCCCAGTTTTAGATGTGGGCACCTACTCATTCATTAGGGAGGAAGACCAATGCACCTTTCAGCATCGTTCCTTCAGGGCCAATGATTCTTTGGGATTTATGCTTCTTCTTGCCCTTATACTCCTAGCCACACAGCTTGTCTACCTCAAGCTGATATTTTTCGTTCATGATCGCAGGAAAATGAAGCCAGTCCAGTTTGTTGCAGCGGTGAGCCAGAACTGGACTTTTCATGGTCCCGGAGCCAGTGGTCAAGCAGCTGCTAATTGGCTGGCTGGATTTGGAAGGGGTCCCACACCACCAACCTTGCTGGGAATCAGGCAAAACGCGAACACCACAGGCAGGAGAAGGCTACTGGTTTTAGATGAGTTCAAAATGGAAAAGAGAATCAGCAGAATGTTCTACATTATGACATTTCTCTTTCTGACCTTGTGGGGTCCCTATTTGGTAGCTTGTTACTGGAGAGTTTTTGCAAGAGGGCCTGTAGTACCAGGGGGATTTCTAACGGCTGCTGTCTGGATGAGTTTTGCCCAAGCTGGAATCAATCCTTTTGTCTGCATTTTCTCCAACAGGGAGCTGAGGCGCTGTTTCAGCACAACCCTTCTTTACTGCAGAAAATCCAGGTTACCAAGGGAACCTTACTGTGTTATATGAGGGAGCATCTGTAAATCTTTAGCCTTGTGAAACACTACCATTCTCTGCTAAGCAATTGTGGCCTGTAGCCATGTCTTGAGAAGAAAATCAAGAATGGGATGTCAGCAGTTGTAAGGATTTGGGCAACATTTTGCAGTCTTTGCAGTAGCTCACCTATAATCCCATTTTAAACCTAAACGTGTTCCTGCTG